TAAAACATTTCTGGGTTGAAGATTCAAGGTAACCAGGACTCTGAGTTTGGATTCAGAATCCAGTACTGCTCGCCTCTCAACCTCTTAGGAATCCTTTTTGGATTCAGGACTCGAATTCTCAGGGCTCATATCTTGAATCCAGTAGGACTCTGATGTTGCATCCCGTGCTAGAGGGAATCCAAATGAAAAGAAGGATGCACATGAGATTGAGTAGCAACAAGTTCTTGATTTCTGTGAGGCCGTTTCGTAGCCAGAAGCGCCAAGGTCCCTGCACACGGTCAATATTTCGCGAAGTATACTGTCTTCTTCTCTGCCCAACAAAGGTTTCTCTTGAAGGAAGAGCATGATTTACAAGCCGCTTACTCAGCGCAAGTGGATGATTGTTGATGAACTAGTCATGTGTCTTGGAAATTGATTTGTATATGTCCCGTGCAATACTGTGTCGAAATACGATCCAAGTCGTTCAGTAAATGCTGTTCTCCGTAGCAGATCTGTGCAAGGTTGTTGGCTTCCATTGTCGTGTGTGTGTTTTGTGCTATATGTGCGAATGTGTTTTACGTACATTATATATATATATATACTATTATATATATATATATGTATATGGTCACCCTTGCCCCAGGGCCTACCTTTCCTCTCTTCTAGTTGAAGGTGTCAAGTCTACTCCGTGTGCCTCGTTCTTGCAGACGCCTGAAAGCACTGTAAAATACAGTGTTTCTGTTGGTGCTTTACCTTCTATATGACAGCAAATGTTTGCTTTGTTTAAGCTTGAAAGGCAACATAGCGAAAACGGAATCCGTTTTCAGATTCGAGTCTGGCTTTGATTGAAAACACTGGTTTTTACAGTGGTTTTGAGTACAGGGAAAAACATTGAAAAATGATGTTTTTTGCAGCTTTGAGCTCTGCAACCTGTACAAACCCAAATTGAAAATGAAAGCTCTGAGACCTGCACATGCCAAACACATCTCCAGACCAAGTTTGGGAGTCTGGGGATACGTGCCCTTTATTTGTTTAGCCACATTTAAGCTAAATCATATTTGGGAATGAGTTACTATTAAAATTTGTTTGCAAAGGCCAAGTGATTCTTTCCAGAATAAGCTCTATTCCAATTCAAGTTGTACTTGGGGATGGATTCTTGATTAATTGCTTATGTTCAAAAGCTAATTTTTGAATTATGTCTGCATTAAAGTATATTTAGACAATTATATTTCCCTTATTTGGAAAGGTATTCCTGTTCAAATTCTGATCAAATATTGACATTATGGTGAATTATGAATGGTGGTGAACTATGTGCTTACTAAATTCGATTCAATATGCAAATTCAATTCGGAGCAAAATCGCATTTGGAAAGGAATGTGTATTTGGATATGTTGGAGGACTCCCAGCTCCAAATTATGAGGCTTGGAGAATCCAACATTAGACATCTCGAGGATTCTGATCTCCAGATTCTAGGTTTTAGGTGTTCCGAAATGGAAATGTGAAGGGATTAGAGATCCAACAAAATGCTGTAAAACACAGTGTTTTGCAGAAATTGCTCAGATTGTGTTCCCTTGGACCGAAGATTGTTCCTTTTCCCAAACAACCTTCTCCCCAAAAAGCCAAGCAGAGTCCATTTGCTACGCATTAAGCCTATATAAGGTTTATAAACTTGTAGGAAAGTTTATAAACCTTCTTGAGTGTTTGGCGTTTTCCTGCAACAAGGCAAAACCCTGGGAAGTCTTCATGGTCCTGGTATCCTTGAAAGTGAGGGGGTGGGAAGTCTTGGGAGGGGGGGGGGGGTGGTTGGAGGTCTCAGCAGTGAGGTGTGACTCAGCCAACTTTATTAAAGACCCTCCCCACCCTCCCCATGCCCCAGACTTCTTAACCTCCTCCCAGGTGCCCAGATGTTGCCTTGGTGAAGGGAAACCGTCAAACCCTTGACATAGTTTATACACTCTTCGCTGCTGTTACTCAACAGACTTGTCACCCACACAAACTATGCAACTACAGCACACTTCTTGCGTATATATGCTCACACCCCCTGTCTTTAAAATAAGAGGATTTGGTCCAATTTGAAGAAGAAAGGTAGGCCCTGCGGGGCGGGGGTGAGCATATATACATATATATGATTATATATGTATGGCACCCCTGGAATACTCAGGCGGTTTATCACAAAATCACATTTATGTTGGAAAGTTAAGGCGAAATGCACTTTTTCCTGATCAATTCGCTGCTGACAAAATACCTCAATCGAGGGATCTTGAGTTCTAGATGGATCAGCATCCTTTTTGTGCTATGATGTGCTTCGTGCAAGCCATCGGGCGTGCACGTGTGCGGTGCGGTCCGCTTGCTCGCCCAAGCCATCTGTATCTGATGCATGGCGTAGACCAAAACAAGACCGCTCTGGGTTGGTACCTTTGGATTTTCAAACCACCCACAAAGGATACCCTCACAAAACAAACGCCCACATACAGCAGGGCAAATCTGCGCTGACCAAACCTTTTCATTGTAATTCATGAATGTCTCCTCACAATGTGCAATGCCGCACTGCTCCGTGCCTCGCCATGTTGACACATTCACATGCCGTCTTCTGCATTCTAGCCAACTATCTCCCAATCAGTCTGCCTAGTTACATTGGTTCAAGAACCAATAGCTGTTCATGATGTGAAGTGTTCTGATGAAAACAAATCCCCCAGCATTGCTGAGCCTCTTCCGTATAGACGCGTACACATACTCCAACTAGACCCTATGAATGTTAACATCACGGAACTTGCTATCCCCGGGATCACCCACAAACCCCAACTGGCGATCCGCATCGATCCGCCTGCTCATCCGTGTGGCAGGTCGCATACTGGGCCGCCTCCGCAATGCTGCGGAAGCTGCGCCGGAGGTCGCCGTTCGCCGTGGGCCCGAAGTGCCCGAAGGTGTCCGCACCTCGTCGGTGAATTTCCATGGCATGCCTTTTTGGACATGGTTTATAGGGAAGAGGAAAACCGCAATTTCTTCAGGGGGTCCCCATATGTTGACAAATGCACAAGCCTCATTTCAACCCACTTAGCGTGAACAAACTCATGCAACCAAAGACCCCCTGAAGTTCATGGATGATCCGCAGTCAGTAATTCCCAGCTCGCGAAAATACGGTGGCTCACGCATGGGCGCTTTGCCGGGAACTTGTGCTCATTTCAAGGTGCTGCTCAACACTAGCCCGGACTGAAGGGTGGGACAATAGCGCAAGTCTGAGGATGCAAGCAGAGAAATCAGAGAAATAGGATGCAAGACTTCAGCTTGAATCAACACAAGTCCGTACATCACAAGCATCTGATGCAGCCCTGGATGGGTAGCACCCAAACAAGGCACAACCCCGCCCACTCCAAGAAATAGCGGTTTCTGCCCACTCACATGCCTGATTGCCACATGATGCATGCATGTGATGTATCCCAAGGCGAATCCACATGTTTCACACTTTCTCGCGTGGAGAAGACCTAAGGCCTGAGACCTATTAACAGAATCGCGATCACTGGAAAATCCTTGAAATGCCAATGGAAAGCTATAAAGCAACAGCGATTCACGCCAAAAACATCCCCGGCCGAAAATCGAAAGGATCTGGGAATACATCCATAATTCCAGACACGGAATTGCGGATGTCCAGAGTTGGCACACCCAAGGAGGTGCCAACATAAACCCCCATGATGGTCTCCTGGCGACCCAACGTCTCAGAGTTGATCCCCCAATCTTTTCACCCAGTGTTCGTGTCTCAGTTGTTTCAAGCATGCGTTGGATACATGTTTTTCAGCGGACGGGACCCTTCAAACTATGCCCGACTCTTGTTTAAATGAGAGACATCCCCACTATGGTTCCCCCGTTGAATTCCCTTTTGCACGATCTGCAAAACAGTACGCTCGCAAAAGCACCCATCGATCCTTACAACGCTTTGCGCGCCTAGGACCCGCAGAATGCTCTTGGCCAGCTCCTGAATCTGCCTAGCAAAACGGACGAGAGGGAGCGGTTCCACCCAATTGCGACGTGGCGCCCCTCGCTTATTTGGGATACCACATTCAAAATCAATCAACATTTGGGCTATCAATCCTGGGGTGGCATGACTACTCAGGAGCGTGCCACGGCAACTCAAATCTGCAGTCATCCGTCAAACAAAGGTGATATGACAGACTACTACTACTACTACTATTACTACTACTACTACTACTACCACTACTACCACTACTACTACTACTACTACTACTACTACTACTACTACTACTACTACTACCACTACTACTACTACTACTACTACTACTACTACTACTACTACTACTACTACTACTACTACTACTACTACTACTACTTAGAAAAAATAACAGTGCCAATAATAGGCAGGTTCTGGCCACCAGTTGACGACATCATCAAGACGCCGAACCCCACATCGCGTGCCAACTTTTCTCTCTGCCTCAAAGACCATACGAATACTGTTCTAGCAACATGCCCAAAATGCCCAGTTCAAAGACGTGCATCAACTTGTCCCGGGTACCGGCACCTTCACCCGTTCTATAAACTACTGGCCCCATGGGCATGGGCATCCCATGGGCCTGGCGTTCTCCAGCTGCCGGGGGGGCCGGGCCCCTGCCGACTGCCGGGCCAGCCGCAGAATGCGGCAGAACTGTTTCTGGCGCTGCCAGGCGGGCCGCCAGTGCTCGAGCCTCCAGGGCCCCTTCCATGCGCAAGACAAGCGCTCTCCGGACATACTGGTGACTAAGCGGTGGCTTTGCTCCCTGCAAACGGAAGGAAGGAAAATGGGGACTGAAATAGGAACGTACGGATTTCTGACAGCCCATCTTGAGACACAAAGTGGGATGAGGCACACTGAGCTCGGCATCTGATCGAGAAAGGCAGAGACAAGGTCCTTAGCTCTAGGCGCATTTCCCATGGAAAGGAGCGTGTGACATGAGTCCCGCATGTCCTCACTTCTGCCGAGAAGCTATGACATGACCTTCTCAAATTGGATTGTTGCTAGAGACCAGCCTGAAAAACTAAGTGCTTGCATCGACTGTCTGAAATGCTGTCAAAAGAGCAAGCAATCACACACATTCGAGTTTGATGAAGATTGTGTGCAATGGGCTTCAGCAAACAGCACATGGTTTCTTCCAATTTACTGGAGGGATGTGCCCCTTCCTGGAAGTGTCGTTTCGAGTAAAACCAAATCGGCACCAAACATCTACAGGGCATTGTCCCTAATTTTCACAAACTCCCATAATCAGCACTCAACTCTTGGCAATCGGTCTGGCTGCGTGGAATGGACAGTGGAAGAGCCAGCTTTTCCAATTGAACAAACCCACCAACCCACCAACGCAATCCAACACAACCCAGCCCGACTGACCTCACCTCGCCGCACCCAGGCCACACAACCAACCGACAAACAACCCTCAGCCAGTTTGGTCACCCTCCAGGAAAGGAAAAGAGTAAGTTCAGTCCCACAAAACAAACACTATGGTCACGTCAACTTCCAGCTTGAATGGCACAAAAGATGCCTACAAGGGGCCTTCAACTCTGACCATACTCACTAAGTCTCGTTGACAAGCTTGGTGCCATTCCTGCCTTGGCATCCATTGATTCTCAATTGCCCCAGGCTCAGTGTTCGGTAGCAAGCTTCAAACAAATGCCCGGCAGAACAAGAATAACACACATCATGCAGAACGTCCATGGAGCCAACAGCAACTGGTCGTGTGAACCCTTGACTCAAAACACATGCCGATGAAATCCCCAAGCCGCTGAAAAAGAAACAGTTGTCCATTTCACATATTCAGAAAAGGGTACCCAAAACCCCACGCCCACGGAGCTGCATGCATCCGCAACCCCGCCAAACAACCTCTCGTTCTTGGGAGGAAAGCCCCCTAAAACCCCACAAGCCCTCTGGCCCCCGTGGTCCTCCCTCTGAAAGCTGCGTTTGGGCCGGGGGACCATGAGGCTGACTTGAGACAGAGAGTTCTTGAGAACAGCCCCTCGCAACAGATACCTTGATTGGAGCCGGTTGTTCAGCCCATCGCCTGGACTTCATTTGCTGGTTCATGGACCGGCTCACACGGAGCATGGGGGCCATGTGCACACCCAGGTCCGAAGCCAGCCAGTGCAAGGTCATGGGCGCCTCCGAAGGCCCAAAAACCACTCCACACACCCCCCGGCACAAACACCACGCTGCTCCCCCAAAGGTTATGGGCAAATTGGGTGGGCCCCACGCTGTTTGTGAGGAATCTGACCATGTCCGGCCCAAGCAATTGACTACCTTTTGTTGGTTTCTCCTTGCTTTCCTGTGCTGCACAATGACCAGCGATATCGCGAGACATCGGCAGATTGTCCGCATGAAAACCCCGCAGGCAAAATCAGTGCCGCCCGGAGGAGACAAACACTTGAGGCGAAAGTCAAGCACTGACCTCTGCAGAAACTGTGCTGCTTTCTTGCCCCTGCAAATGAAATACACCGACCAGCTATCCCACCACACAACAGCCAATTTCTTTCCCACTGGCAACGCATTTGACAAATTCACCTGGCGCTTCAAAAGCCTCCGATTGAAAGATTCTTCTGGGCCTGGCAACTGCTCTGAGCAACTTGCGCAAGCTGATCTTCATGATACCGATAGACAGTGCGTTCGTTGCCCACCAACTGATTGTTGGGCAAAAATCTTCCAGTCGGCGTGAAGGACTACCAGCAACTTTATTTCATTTGCACAGAGCTCAACAACTCATGAATCATTCCAAAGACTGAAGCATGAAGCAAGCAAGGATCCTTCGCACGAGCGAGGTCCCTTTGCCCCAACAATAGCAGGTTTCATCTTGACATCCCAAACCAACCAATAAGATGAGGTCAACAACAAGCAAGAATGGCTCAATGGAAACAGCCAGCCCTGCCTTGAAACACTTGAGGACCCTCTGCGATTGAGAAACTCACAGTTTGCGGAAAGGCAACGATCAATCAAGACGCGTGTCCCATGGTCAGATGCGGAAGCCCTGAATTTTGCAAGTCGGGACACAAGCCCGGGGCAGAATGCAAAACAGCAGAGGAGCAAACAAGAAGAGAACCTAACCAAATGTCTACCATGTGTTGTTAAAACAGGGGAGCATCGATCTATCCTCAATAGGCAATATAGGCTATGGTTTTGGTCAAAGCTTTCATCTGCATGGCCCTAGATTATCAAATTGGCTTCCTCTTGAGAAACCAATTCTGAGAAGAGGTACCTTGTCTCGTGCTGGATTTCCTTCGACTATCCAGCATGGGAGAAAACAAACCGTTGACATCCCTACATGGCGTCAAGCATGACCTTGCCGAGCTGGCAAGGAGAGTGACCTGCAACTTGAATGCCGGGAATCACCCACAGGCCTCCCACACAAGGCGGGTCTCACCTAGATTGCCATCAATCCAAATCAGGGAGGCCGGTTTGCCTTGCACTGATCAAATTTGAGCCCTCGAAAGGTTTTCTGAAGCGGTCCCCCCGTCCCTCCCTCTCGCCTCCAAGGCTTCGCGACTTAGAGCCATGGCCACTCGGCTCTCCCGAGAAGACCGGAACTGGAGCCAGCGAAAAGCATCCTTGAACTCTCTCGCAACCGCAGTACTCCGCGGATTCTGATGGAACCCCAGAACCCTTTTTGCCGACGAACCTCCTTTTGAGGCAATTCCATCAGTTGGATTCAACATGTTTTTACGTAGGGACTATCAACGTTGCAGAATCGATGGCACCATCAACGTTGCGCCAACGTTATCAACGCTGCAGAAGCATTGCAACTGTGATGAAACCATCAACGTGCATCATGTTGACGTTGATGGTAACTTCGATGGCACCACAAACGCGAATCACCTGGCTCATGAGTCATGAGTGACTGGGGGCTTGACCTTAGATGTTCGTGGGTTTCAGCCACCGCCAAGATCATGATAGATATTCCTTCGTCTGTGTTGCAGAGTCCAACCATTGCTCAGAACTCAACACCCAATTGGTCGAATTAAGAACAGAGCAGCCATGATGGGGCAAGTCACTAGACGAAACATGTTGACAAGGTGACTGTTTATCACTTTTGCCTTCGTGGTTGTTCGCAATGTGAAACCTTGAGCCAATTCAGTTGAATTGTTTGGCCTTTCCTCTTCTGCGCTTGACCACAAGCACCAAATTCTTGGCCGATCTCCCTGAGGCGTCCTTGAGACAGCATCCGCATTCGAGGCTGAGCTCTCGGCATCGGAGGCGCGGCGCCGTACCAGCGAAACCTTGCAGGCACCATAACGCCATGCGTTAGAGTCAAACCAAGGTCCAAAGCCGATATTTAGATGCCGCTCTGGCGTTGGACGAGGTTGGTGGACTCGGAGAGCCAAAGAGTTCTGTGTGAAGTCTTGGCCCCCCCCCTGAGGTTGCCATGAATGCCTGGCTGAATTTTATCGGGCATGAGGCAACACATCCCCCAAATCAAGGAGCTGCTTGATGCGCTGACCAACGAGACCCTGCCAGGCGCAAGGACAAAAAGACACATATGGTGTCTTGTTCGAGAGCCAAGGCTTCCTCAAGCAACATAAGAGAACTCGCAGGTCTGGCCATTTCGTCTTGCCGTGGATGCCAGGGTGTGGTCGTGGTCGGCGTTTCTTTGTGGGAGCGAGGGGGTGGTGATAGTGACGGCCGAAAAACCCGTTTGCGGCTACCAACTTGTCCTCGTAGAACATCAAACGCAGTAAACTTTGCGACGCGCGCGCACAACACTGCAAAGGCGTCGTGTTGGAGCTTAGCGCCAGCAACAGATCCACGGTACATTATTCTTCGTGCTGTTGTTGTGGCTGTTGCTGTCACCGTTGCTGTCGTCGTGGTCGTCGTCGTCGTTGCTGTTGCCGGTTGCTGTTGCTGTCGCTGTTGTTGTCGTGGTTGTGGTTGTGGCTGCGGCTGTGGCTGTGATTGTGGTTGTGGTTGTGGTTGTGGATGTGGTTGTTGTTGTTGTTGGTGGTGGTGTTGGTGTTGGGGTTTGCGTTGGTGTTGTTGGTGTTGGCGTTCTTGTTCTTGTTCTTCTTCTTGTTGTTGTTGCTCTTGCTCTTGCTCTTGTTCTCGTTCTTGTTCGTATTCTTGTTCTTGCTCTTGTTGTCTATGTTATTGCTGTTGCTGTTGTTGTTGCTGTTGCGGTTGCTGTTTCTGTTGTTGTTGTTGTTGTTGTTGTTGTTGTTGTTGTTGCTGTTGTCGTCGTCGTCGCCGTCGTCGTCGTCGTTGTCGTTGTTGTTGTTGCGGTTGTTGTTGTCGTTGTCGTCGTTGTCGTCGTGTTGTCGTGTTGTTGCTTTGCTGGTTTGTTGGTTTGTTGGTTTGTTGGTTTGTTTGTTTGATTGTTGATTGCTATGTTTGTTTGTTGGCTTATTTGTTTGTTGTTTGTTTATTTGTTTGTTTGTTCGTTCGATTGTTTTGTTTGTTTGATTGCTTGCCGTTGTTTGTTGTTGTTTGTCGTTGCTTGTTGTTGTTTGTGATTGTTTGGTTCTTCTTCTTCGTCTTCTTCCTCTTGTTGTTGTTTGTTTGGTTGGTTGCTTGTTTGCATGTTTGTTTGTTTGTTTGTCGTTGTTTGTCGTTGTTTGTTGTTGTTTGTTGTTGCTTGTTGTTGTTTGTTGTTGCTTGTTGTTGCTTGTTGTTGATTGCTATTGCTTGGTTCTTCTTCTTCGTCTTCTTCTTGTTGTTGTTTGCTTGGTTGGTTGTTTGATTGCTTGTTTGTTGTGTCTTGATTGTTTCTTGTTTGTTTGTTGTTTGTTTGTTGGTTGTCTGTTGCAAGGCTTTTGTTTGTTGTTTGTGTGCTTTGCTTTGTTGTGTGATTGTTGTGCGTTTGTTGTGTTTGTTGTTTGGTTGTTGTTTGTTTGTTGATTGTTTGGTGTTTGTTGATTGTTGGTTTTGTGTGTTGTTTGTGTGTTGTTTTATTCTTTCTTTTTGCTTGTTTGTTGTTGTTTGTTTGTTTGTTTGTTTGATTGATTGATTGTTTGTGGGTTTGTTTGTTGTTTGTTTGCTGATTGTTTGCTGATTGTTTGCTGTTTG